GCAGCCTGGAATGTGCAAGAGCAGGCCAGGGAGGTGGAGGCCAGGCCTGATGGAGCCCCCACAGGGCAGATCCCCACAGGTTCAGATTCCAGCTGGGAGCAGGACAGAGCAGCCCCACAGCAGCCCCACAGCCCCACAGCGGCCCTGCCCATCCCTTCCTCTCTGCACTGCAGGGAAAGGCAGAGAGAGTCACTTTAGCCTGAGCTTTGCTCCAAAACCCCTCCTTGCACTTGTCTGAGCTGTTTTAGAGCTATCTCAGCTCCCTCCCATCTCCTCAGCTGTCATGTGGGGCAGTGGGCAGGCTCCCTCCATGGAAACAATGGCCAACACTTCTTTCTCATGCCCAGCTGGTGAATTTTACCAAATTTTCAGGAGCTCCGCAGATTTGAATCTCTGAAAGCTCTGAAATTCCTCAGGCAGCTCAGCTGGGTGTGCATTGCTAGCAGGGGGGCTGACCCCACTGCCACAGGTAATGAAGCAAAGGCACATTGCTCCCTTCAGCCTGCAAGGAAAATCCATCCCCCAGCCCTGGGCTGAGCTTCTGGGCAGGCAGGAGTGGAGGAGGTCACAGACCCTTCACTCATGGCACTCTGCAAGGCCCTGAGGGGACACACAGGCCCTGCCTGCTGGCCCCAGCCACACCCTTTGCCCTGTGGGTAAATCCCCATGCCAAGGCACCCCCAGTGCTCTCCCCCAGCTCAGAGCCAGGCTGTGCACAGGACTGCAGCACCCAGGCACCTTCCCTGCAGGGGGATGCACTCCTGTGCTTCCTGCTGGTGCAGGTTCACTGCTGTGCATGCACAGTCTGTGCTTTCACACACACACACAAACACACACACACACACACACACACACACACACACGATCATCTGCTCAAACAGCTCCTCTTTGTATGGACTTGCATCAGATATTTGCAGCTCTCAAGTCCTGACCCCACACAGAATCATCACAGAATCCCAGAATGGTTTGGGTTGGAAGGGGCATTAAAGCCCATCCAGTGGCACCCTTGCCATGGCAGGGACACCTCCCACTGTCCCAGGCTGCTCCCAGCCCTGTCCAGCCTGGCCTTGGGCACTGCCAGGGATCCAGGGGCAGCCACAGCTGCTCTGGGCACCCTGTGCCAGGGCCTGCCCACCCTCACAGGAAATATCCCCAACCCTGCTCCCTCTGGTCCCTCTGGGTTCCTGCTGAGCTTGGGCACTGGATTTCAGCCCAGCCTGTGTCTGCTGCCCCTTTGCAGAGCTGGAATGAAGTGGGGGAGGACAGGACTGAGCTCTGAGGTGTGGGTGGGCTGCAGGGGGGTTTGGGGTTGCTGTGAGCCATTGCCATGGTCCCACTCCAGCCCTGGCTGGCACCAGGCACACTCAGAGCAGAGCAAGGGGTGAGGATCCTACAAAGCACCCCACAAGGCCAGTGTGGGCTCGTAGTGAGGAGCAGTTTTTGCTGTGTGCCTGATCTGAGGGCAGAGAGGGAGGGATGACAGCCCTGGGTTCAAGGGCTGGAGAAGCACCAAGGGCACAGCTGGTGCAGCTGAGTGAGCCCACCAGCTGGGCTGGCTGTCTCACAGGGGCTCTGCTAAAAACCACAGGTCTCTTTTTACAGTTATTTGCCAAAAAATGGGCTAGCTAGGGGGCATAAATCACTGCCCCCATCCTCTGCAGCGCAGCCCGTGTGCCCGTGCCCAGCTGAGCTCTGTGCTGAGTTTCAGGGGGTGTGACAGGGACCTGGGGGATGTCACTGTGTGTGCTGGGGTGGGGGTATCAAATCACACCAAGCTGGATCCTCATCTGCCTCTGCACAGCACAAGCTGCCCGTGTGAACCTCTGGGGGACTCTGGTAATTTTTTCTGCCAATCTTTGGCCCTTGCAAAGATGCTCAGGAGTCCCAGGTGCTTCAAAAGCTGTGCCAGACCGTGAGTGCTCATCCTGAGATCTCAGCTCAGCACTTGACATGAATTTTTCTTCATTTTCCCTTTTGAAAACCACAGTTCAGTAATCCAGGAGCTGAGATACCACCAGAGTCTGTCCATGACCCTTTTGACACCACCTCAGAAAGCAAATTTGTCTGGACTGTTAAACCAAGTTGCCCCCCAACAACCTTGCAGTATTTTTTTCTTCTGAACCAAATGATATGTATTTACAATACTTAAGAAAGCCATGAATGGTTAAACACCATTTTTGCAAGCTGGTTGGGAAGCTAGAAAGTAATTTGATGCAATATACGGAAATTTCAAAGATTTTTTTCATTTGAAAAAGGGATTGAAAGAATTTTTATAGATGTTTAACCTGTGTTTCTCTGATTTCCTTTTTTAATATTGGCTTTTCTGTTATTTTTTCATCTCTTTTCTCTCTTCTGATTTTTTTCCCATTTCCAGTTTCCCTTTCCCTGGATTTCCTTAAAGCAATTAAAAATGCTTGTGGTTTGACGCTGGTGTAATGCTAGTGCTTCTATGAAAATACATTTTTTTGGGGGTCTACTGGGAGATGTGACTAGGAATAGAGCAAAGCAGGCTCTAACTTAGGAATAAAGAAGAGAAAACTTTTTAAACTTACAACTACATGTAAAAAGAAACACACAGAAAGAATGAAAACTTTCTAAAAACATTCTTTATACTGAATTTTTAATACATCTGTCTTTTAGATCACTAACTTTCAGTCTATGACTACCTTTTAGATAATTAATTCTCAGTTCATCAAGGAGTGAGGAGCCTTTCTTGTGCCATAGCCTTCCTCTGGAAACAGAGTTGAGACCTCTGGTGTTTCCAGTCACTTGTGGCACCGCCTGGAGATCATTTGCCATTGTGACAGTGCTCTCACTACTGAACATGGACTAGAGCTGCTTCTAGGGTTTTCCTTTTAAGGGTTCTTTGTCTAGTTTTAAAAAGAGCACAGTCTCTCACTCTGGGGACACTTGTTTTCTCTAAATTTCACTTCTTGGGGCTGAGGGGTCTCAAGAACAGAGATCTTCTCTTGTACTGAAGATCGAGGGCACCAACTACTTTCTTCACTCATCATCTTTGTTTACACACTCTTTCACATAACAACACTGAACTCTCTTGACTCTGAGCTATTGCCTCTTTTTAAATGCAGTGTCTGTGTCACAGGAAAAAAACAGTTCTGTCTATGGCTATACAAGAAAAGTCTAGCCAAAGGCCACTCTATCACTTCTTTCTACTTAAGATTCTTCTTCACTTCTCTTGTGGCCTATTTATTTTTATCTCAACTCTATTCTCTTCTCATTCAGCTCCAGAAGGGTTAGCATTTGTAAAGTTTCTATCATCTAAGAAAAGGGTTAAAAATCTCAGGCTCTGCCTGTCCAGAACTCTTATGCTGTCTTGCTGGGCGCCTTCTTGCCGCACTTTCTCTTTTTGTCTTTCTCAACTGGCCATGATATTAAATTTTTAAGGTGGCACAGGCACAGGCTGGCTCTCTTTCTCTTTCTTCTCGGGGGCTGCTGCTTGATGTTTCTTGGTGCTCTTCTACTTTTCTATCTTCAGGACCTTGGCTTACCTTACCTGGCCGCATGGCTTCCCCTCCCCACCCAGCCGGCAACACCTGGGCAGGGGAGGTTTGAACTTCTCACTGACTGGAACTAAGAGAAAGTTCTCCTGGGAGTTTTCTGCTTTTAACTTCTTGTGTTCTCAGAGGCGTATCTATGTCTTCAGTGGCTAATATTCAAATCTGAGCACTTATTGGTTTGACTACAGCATCTCAAAGAAAACCACACTTCCTCTCAAACCACAACACCTGTGTTTCTCTGATTTCTTTTTTTTTATATTGGCTTTTCTGATATTTTTTCATCTCTTTTCTCTCTTCTGATTTTTTTCCCATTTGCAGTTTCACTTTTCCTGGATTTCCTTACAGCAATTAAAAATGCTCTGGGGTTGAAAATTAAAAATGCTTAATCCCAGGTGGTATGCCCCTGGCCCAGGCTGTGCAGCTGGACCTGGACATTCCTGGGCATCTCTGCTGACTGCAAAGAGCTCTTGCACACTGTGTTAGTGTTAGTGAGGACACCATGGTTGCCTTTCCATTGTTTGTCCCTATGGGGCTTTTTCCCAATCCCATGGGTTTGTGGGGTGAGCTGCTCTTCCTGTAACTCCAATGTTTGTATCTCCTACTCTGAGAGTCATGTTGGGGCTCTCCTGGTTTTTTTCTCCTCTGGTTAAACATCCGCCCTTCTCCTCAGTGTCTGAGGTTCAGGAAATGTTCCCAGTGCTGTGGTGGCTCTGCTGCTCCCCCATTCCCCTGCGCTGAGCTGGGGCAGGAGCAGGGACCTGCTGAGCCTGTGAAGGGAGCCCTGAGCACAGCAGGGAGTTTGCATCCTTTTCTACACATTTCATGGTCTGGTCTGACATTATCACTGTGTGGAGTGTGAGGAAGAGGATTTATCTGGTGTGTCTGTTCCTCCTGTGTGTGTCCATGGGGGACAGGATGCCTTTTCCTTCCCAGTGTGTATTACTTTGGCCCATTCAGGACATTTCTGACCCATTCTGGGTCAGGTCTCTGGATGAGCAGGTCTGGACAGGCCCTGTTTGGTTCAGACAACCATCTCAGCCTTAGAGAAAGAAATATTATGGTGCTTTATTTTTGTCCTCTCCAGTTCTGGCTCCTGCCTCCCTCCAGCACGTAGCTGGGCTGCCAAGCAGGGTCCATGCTGAGCATGAGCATTTTCACTTCCTAATATTTGACTCTAGGGTTTTTTGGACAAGCTGCATTTGTTTGAAAGCTCTCTGTCAGCTCCAGCTTTTGGTCTGATTGCTCCCCTAAGAGCAGTGTACTTAATTAGGCTGGAATTGCTATTGCACAATCAGCCAACCATAACGATGTCTTTAACCCAAGCAGAGAGGTTTGCTGGGGCACGGGTCCAGAGCTGCCTCCTCTGCCTGCTGCTGCAGAACAGGCTGACCTAGAAACAGCCAGGGAGCATGTTATAAAACTGCCTTTCTGAACTTCTGCCATGGCACATGACGGGCACACAGCTGCCTGTACCTGCCTCTTGCCTTCTGAAGGGAATTCTTCTCCTTTTTGATGTCCATTGTCTGGTAATCATTTAAAAGGTCAAGAGGCAAGGCTATATTTGCACTGAACACTGCTGGTCATTCGTGGCTCCATAGGCTTTTCTTCTCTGTGCATTTATGGAGCACAAAGCAGAAACCCCTGTTTGCCATGCTCTGGTTTAACCACAGAGAGGTGCAAAGTCATATGCAGGGTTTGCTTCCCAGCCAGAAGGAAGGATGCAGGTCCCAGACATTAGGTCAAGGTGTGCATCCCAGAATGGGTCCCTGTCCCTGTCCCTGTCCCTGTCCCTGTCCCTGTTCCTGTCCCTGTCCCTGTCCCTGTCCCTGTCCCTGTCCCTGTCCCTGTTCCTGTCCCTGCAGACGTGGCTGGCAGCCCCACAGCCTGTGTTGAGCTCTTGTTCTCCCTTGCAGAGCATCCACCTGTCATTTTTGCGCACGGTCCCACCCTACTCTCACCAGGCCAACGTCTGGTTTGAGATGATGAGAGTCTTCAACTGGAACCACGTCATCCTGATAGTCAGTGACGACCACGAGGGTCGTGCTGCACAGAAGAAACTGGAGACCCTCCTGGAGGAGAAAGAGTCCAAGGTCAGTTCCTGAACATTGTCTTGTAGCTTTGTTTAAGCAACAACAACGAAACTAGAAGTCTTGGGCTGTTGTATGTATGTAGATTTCTGTATGTAAAACACCTTTTCTTTCCATTGTAACATGGCTAACATGCTTAAAGCATCAACAGTGTCTGACTAGTACCTGACAGAACTTTGTACTTTATTCATTTCACTTGCTTTGCCATGGTCAAAATCTCCTACATGTAAATCGACTACAAAATGAAGGGAAGGATAACCTGGAGCTCTGCAAATCCCTTGCCCCAGTTTCCCACCCAAGGAGAGGACCAGTCTCTCAGTGTAGGGAAGCACCTGCCCCACTGCAGCCACCCCGGTGCCAGGCAGTGCCAGCAGTGCCCAACCCACCCTGCAGAGCAGCTTCTCAATTGGCCATGGGGCTGAGCTCGGTGCCTGGCAGGGGCTCTGAGCCCTGGGCAGCGCTGTGGGCCCTTCCCATCTCATCGCAGCACACCCAAACGCTGCTTTCCTGACACCCCATGCATGGCAGGGCCGCTGTGGGACCTCGTCCTGCTCTCAGGGCCAGGGGAGCAGGGAGGGAGGCAGCCAGGGGGACAGAGCACAGACCCCCGGCCTGCAGGGAAAGGACTGAACAACTGCTCGAGGCCAGCACAGAAGAGCACAGGAAGCTGTGCCTGCAATCTGGAAGGCAAGGAAACACCTCCTGTCCTTTGGGGGGAGTCCAAGCACGTCCTCTCTCCTGTGTAGGGTGAGGTCCCCTTTGGATGGGCAGAGCCTGAGTTCATCCAGTCTCCAGCAGCATCAGGGCAGGCACCCATTTGGGGATGTTCCCTCCCAGGCAGGGACCCCAACTTGCTCTTTGCAGCCCCACCTGCAGCTGCTAGACCTTTGGCAGTCTCTCAGCTGTTGGGATGTGGCCATGGATGCTTCTTGTGGTTGGAGTTGGTGGCTGAGCTGAGAGATGGGACCCTAGGACTGCTCTTCATCACCTCCCTGGAGGAACAACTGCTGCAGGGGTGCAGGTTGGCACAAGCCACACTGACCAACAGACTCCTGATTATGGCAGCGATTTTCAAGAAGTTTCATCCTTGCTGCATCCCTGGCTGTCTCAAGGCACTGATGTTCCACCAGTCACAGAGGGATCCTCCTGCCTCCAAGGACAGCTTCCCACTGGGTGACAGCAGGACAGTAATCTTCTCCAAAGCCTCTTCCCAGCACAAAGCCCTTCATGCAGGGAGAGCCGTTGTCAGTCTCTCTCCCTCCTCTTGCATCTTTTAAATTCCCCTTTTTGTTTTCCTCTAGTTCCTCTGCATCCCATTCTGCTGTTCCCTCTCATGCCTCCACTCCCACCTGCCCCATGTGGTGCTTCAGGCACAGGGTGCATTTCTTCAGCCTGCTCACCCTGCAGGAAAGCCTTGGAGAGCTTGGAAGATGGGGAGAGAGAGTCTGTCCTCAGACCTTCCCCATTTTGCACTGCAGCTGCCACATCTTGGTGTGCTCTGGCAGCCTGAGAGCCACTCTCCAGGCTGGTGCACCTGCTCTGTCCCAGCAGGTCACCTTGTCTTCTCTTTGGGGTGTGCATCTTGTTGCTTTTTCCTTTGACAAAGGTCAGGCAGACTGGTCTGACTGGTCTTGCAGGTGGCAGATACTCTGTTGGGGCTTTCCTGTCTTCCTCCACCTCTTCTCTTCAGTCTCTCTTCTGATCACAGCTGTGCTGGCTCTTTCCATGCCATGAAGTTGCACCATGGACTTCTCCCCAGCCTCTCCAAGGGCAGCCTGGGCCCTGGGGAGGGAGCAGGCAGGAGACCTGATCTCAACCTTTTCAAGGCTTAGATCACAGCCCCTGAGGACATGGAGGACCTGCTCAGGGTCAGAGACTCCCCTGCCATCTGGGCTCTTGGTTTGGGGCGTGGCTTTGCCCCCAGGGTCTGTGCCAGCCCTGTGTGCCATCCTGGCACCACTGTGTGGGCCTGCAGCTCCAGCAGCACCCTGAGCCCAGCACCCAGGCCATGCTGGAGTGCCCCATGGGCTGTCTGCAGGAACCCTCAGCCTGGAGCTGCTCCACCCAGCACAGCTCTGCTCATCCATGGGGCTCAGAAGGGAGTGCTGGACACTGGAACCAGAGCTTGGGGTCAGAGGTGGCAGCTCCCTGCTGTGCTGCCTGCCTTTCTCTTGGACAATGACCTGCATGAAAGTGGCAAATTTTTGAGTGATTGCAGGAGCATGTGGTGGAAAGGGAACTTCTGATTTGTCAGTCCCTGTGTGAAACATGAAGAGCGGAGAAGGGCCGAAAGACCACATGGAAAAATGGGAAAAAGAGGATTACTAGTGTAGTTCTGGAAACAGGGCTAGTGACAGGGAGAGGTGACCAGGGGCCAGCCTTGTTGTTCTGAAGACTCTGCTGACCAGCCTGGGCCGAGGTGCCAGCACATCCCAGGAATTCCTGGTTGATGGCTGCAGCATGGATGACCAAGTTTTTGGCTACATTGACAGTGCCTGGGGAGAAGTGACCAGCGTTGCCTGATTGGAGAACATTCCTGCTGTTCTGCTGCATCTCTGGCCTCCTTGTAGCAGTCATTACTCCAGGGCTCACTGCAGGCCCAGCAGAAGCCACTGCAGAAATCCTCACTGTGGGAGCCATCAGAAATGAAGGCAGACCTGGGCTCCAAGCAGATTTTGCCTCTTCACACACTTTTCCTTGCCAGGACCCAATTTCTTTAAGCAATGAGAAACCCATCAGGATGCATCCAAGGGGAAGAAAGGAAAGGTCACACAGCTGCATGGAAAGAAGAGCTGACAAGATGTCCTGACAAAGACTGGCCTGAATGCTCAGGAAAAGGCAAGCTAATGAGTTTGGAAAGCAAGATGAAGAGCAATCTGTCTGTCCGAGGAGCAGCTTGGGAGCATGGACCCCCACTCCTGGCCGGGATCCATTGCCATCAGGCTCTGGAGAAATGGAGATGAGAGTAGAGCTGTGTCCCACACCCCATGTACACAGATCAGGGATGCTCAGCTGGGGCGGGGTCGAGGAGAAGATGTCTCACTATGTCCCACCAAAAGCTGCCAAGCCCTCTCCTGCAGGCCCCATCAGGTTGCTGTGCCTGGCCAGGCCCCAGGGGCTGCTCCCAGGAGGTGCTGGGGCTCTGTGTAGGGTCAGGGCTCTGAGCAGAGGCTCTGGGCCCTCAGCACAATGCCTGCCAAGAGGAAACCTCCAGCCGTGGCTGCCCTGCCCTGGGCTCCTCTGGGGCCAGGCAGCACCAGCAGCTGAGGCACAGAGCAGGGCAGGAGCAGGATCTCTGCTCCAGCCCCATCTCTCCAGGGTCAGTGCAGGCCCTGAGCCCCCCTGGCATGCTCCAGGCAGCAGCATGGAGACCACCAAGCATTGAGCCCCCCTAGCCACGCTTAGGGCCAGCCCTGGTCTCAGGTAGCTGCACCTCCCAGGGCCACCCATGTGCTGCAGAGCCATGAGGTGCCCTGGGCCCTCCCCAGGCACCAGGTAAAAGCTGCAATGCCATCCCATGTTCACCATCGCTTCATATCGCCACGCTTTGAGCCAACACGGCACCTAGAGAACTTTATCTTTCTCTTTTGGATGTCAACAGAGCTCAGGAAGCTGCTCCCTCCTTTCAGGGGGTGAGAGGTTCAGCTGAGACCGCTCACTTTGTGTGGACTCTCTGAGGGTGGACAGGACTGTAATGCTGCTAGTGATGCTAGTAATGCTGATACTCTGAACTGTAACAGTTTGCCTTTATCCAGCACTTTCCGTACACAACATTTTGTCCTTTACTTCCACAGTAATTCCATGGAAACCCCACCACTTAGGCCCTTAGATTCTTTCTGAGCTTAAGATAAAACTTCCTTGCTGAAGAATCCCCCAGTCCCTCAAGGGAAAATGCAACTGCATCGCACCAGCTGTGCCACTCAGGCTCTGCTCTCAGATTGCTCCGTGACCTCCCGTCAGAGCTGAGGCACAATCTCTCCTGATAGTGGTTTTTGCGAGCTCCAGCGTTATAGAGACCCTTTAGCAAACAGTGGAGGAGGAGGTGGATGTTGGATTGCTTTACTACACGTCATTTTCAACTGTTTATAATATTCTTCTGTGTCTACATATTTTCTCTGTGCACATTATTCATCAGAGTAAAAAAAGGAACTATGAAAACCTCGACCAACTTTCCTATGACAACAAGCGAGGACCCAAGGTATATATGCATGGAAATGCACGCCGCCCACCAACCTAACTAGCAAATGAAAAATAGCCACAGCCAACAGAAAAATTAAAAAAAAAAAGAAAAAAAAAAGAGAGAAAGAGAAAAAAAGAAAAGAAAAGAAAGAAAAAAAATATCCATGACTATGTTTCTTGGTAGCACGTTTTTATGTTGAGATAGTTTGGTTTGGACTTGAGAATGGAAACTTAGCCAGCTGACCCTGGAAGGATTTCTTTTTGAAACATGCATGTGAACCAATAATTAACTTGCAAGTTCTTTTTTTTTTGAAAAGTTGAACCAACCCCCTTTCCTCCCCAAAGGAAACAGTTCCTTGGTGTAAGTTGCTCACTTTGATTCCCAAAGGTTAACCCTGTGCAATATGGTTTTTTTTTTCATTTCCCATGTTTTTGAAAAACAACACTCGTTTGAGTTTTCAATTGCATTTCAAAGCCTTTTTCTCTTTCCTGTACAATGCACGCCTCTTTTTGGGTCTTGATTGACTTCAGTTTGCATGCACAGTGCAAAAAAAAAAAAAAAAAAACCAACCGAAAAGCCAAAACCTTAAAAGAGAAAGGAAGGAAGGAAGGAAAGAAAGAAAAGAAAGAAAGGAAAGAAAAAGCAAAAAAATAACTTTAACCAATCTTATTTAGCGGACTTTTGTGCAGTTTAATGAATTCTCTTGACCCTTTTCTAGATAGCATGGCTCTCACCACCAGTCTCAGGGCTCATTCACTAACCAGCTTTGCTCACACTCATCACAGGCTGAGAAAGTGCTTCAGTTTGACCCTGGGACCAAAAATGTGACAGCGCTGCTGCTGGAGGCGAAGGAGCTGGAGGCCAGGGTCATCATCCTCTCTGCCAGGTGAGCCGTGCTGCCCCTCCCTGCTCCATTTCCTCTCTCCCAGCGCTGGGGTCAGTGGACTTGGGGTTTGACAGCTTC